TGGAATGATCCTGGGCTTAACCTTGGGCTTGACGAGGGACCTGATAGCCTCGGCCTGTGCATTCATGGCCTTGTCATTGTTTCCTTGCATTTTCTTGACGCCCTTCTTGTTGTGCTTCTTGGCAAAATGCATGTTCCTAAGGAACTTGAGATCTACCCTCTTCAGAGATTTGCATCATTGTGACCAAGGTTTCTTGATGCCATTTTTGTGCCACTTTTGGGACTGGTTGTGCGTGGTGTGGTTCGTGGACTTGGCCATAATTGCACTGTAACCCAGGGCTGACAAGAGCCTGGAACCAGAAGAAGAAAAGACTTATTTAATTTATTTTGGATGAGGGAAGCTATTGTGTGATAAAGAAGTCATTCCTAGGTTTCGTCTCCCAAGGCACGGGCAAAACACGTGTAAAACTGGTTATACTATTCTAGGCTTGCAGCAACATTCCGTGGGAACTTAACATTCCATGCCCTAAATCCACAGGAACATTTGGAGCCTTCAATCTCATTTTTTAAATTTAACCTAATGGATATAAAATGATATCTCATGTTTTACATTTCTTAATTATTAATGATTCTTAACACCCTTTCATGGATTTGTTGATCTTTTGTATGGTGACATTTCTGTTAAAATATTTTCCAATATTTAAATGAGTTTGTCATTTTACGTTTGGACTTAAGGAGTTTAATACATATTCCAGATATAAATTCATATATATGTATTTATATTATATTAATTATATTATATTATATTAGAGGTGATTTGTATCTTTGTGTGATATACTTTTGTGAAATGTATATATCACATATGTTTGCTGTAAATGTTCTCTCAGGTTGCAGTTTTTCTATTTTCTAAATAATATGATGAATGAGAAGGTTTTTAAAATTTTCTCATATTGTTTAACATACACAATTTACCACTTTTTATATTGTGCTAACCACTCCTGTGTCCTAAAAATTGTTGCCTACCAAAATTGTGAAGACTTAGATCAATCTTGTTTTTCCTAGAAAAGTTATAGTCTTAACTTTCCATTTTGCCTGTGTTCCATTTAAAATGATTATTTAAAGATGGTCTGAGACAGAAATTAAAGATTCTTTATAAATTAGTTAGCTATATTTTCAAGCACATTTTGTGGAAAAGACTCTGTACCCTATAGACTGCTTTGATGTCTTTGAAAACAATCAGTTGAACTCACACATACAGATTCTTCTCTGGGCTCTATTCTAATCTATTTAACTGTTTTTACCATTGTCACATTATTCTGATTACTTTATATGCACTTCAAAATCAATCACTTCACTCTTCTTTCAACTGGATTTAAAATTTTCAATTGTTGTAAGGACTGAAGGGAGAAACTGAAGGTTGAAACTAAATGCTAGGAGGATATGAATACCAGGAAGTGACTCTGATCAGGAAGAAATGAAATCTAGCATGCATTGTGAAGCAGTACATAATATTACAATCAAATTTAGGGCTTATAACCCTGAGATAGAGACTATGTCCCCTCATTTAGAATATTTACTCATTTGGGAAATTCTTGTTTTGTTTTATGGGAAGTTTTTAAGTGCTTAGTATTCAATCTAGGATTTCTGCTATAGTGACAATGTTATTTTCTTTCTCTTTCTTTCTTTCTTTCTCTCTCTCTCTCTCTCTCTCTCTCTCTCTCTCTCTCTTTCTTTCTTTCTTTCTTTCTTTCTTTCTTTCTTTCTTTCTCTTTCTTTTTTGTATTTAGTACAAGGTTTACAGGATCTCACTACATAGATCAGACTCGTAGAATTGTTCCTACTGACAGCTTCCTAAGTGCTGGGATTATAGGCTCATGCCACCATGCCCAGTCTCAGTAACTGTCTCAGTGCATTCTTGGGGCAGGACTGGCACGGCAGGCTGGGTATTGCACCCTTGACCCCTGCATCTACTTAAGCAGGTGCTTTGATCCTCTGAGCTATACGGCTGACCTGAAAATGTTATTTTCTTATATTCTAATTAAGGGATAGTAATTTAAAAAAAAAAAGGAAAAAACTGAATCCTACATTACTTATTGTTTTGATATTTCTCAAATACATCTGATACCTTTGAGATAATTAATGTACTAGATTTTACCTAATGAAGTTAAAGTTTATTGTGTCCTCATAGAAAACATGTAGTTTGTCTCTGGAGAATTGAACTCATTTACACATTTTATAACTCATTCGTATTCGTCTTTTAACTACCTTTCCGTTTTCTTTTGAGGGAAAGGGAATCTAACATAAATTTCACTTGCTCATGATTTCCTTGGCAGTCACAAACAACTTTTACAAAATTCAAGGCAAAGTTAGACAACCTCCTATGCTTTTTGAAAATGATTTTAATATTAATAATTTTGAGTGGGAAGTTTGTGCAGCAAAACCTTCAAAGCTTTCAGGTGAATGTTATGCTATTTTAGAAGTTTATAATAATTTTGTTCCAGTATTTTTCCTTTTGATAATTTAGATAGATCTCCTTGCTCTTATCGATGCACATAAATAATCCTGTAGATAGTTTCACTTATCTGAGAAATCCACTGAATTTCTTTTAGGATTTTCCACCATAGAAACATGCATAACCTGTGACAATTCCATTGCTATCTTAAAATGTTTATACAGAAATGTTACTTCTTGGGTTAGAATAAATGGTCCCATGAATAGAATGCATTATAGCCCAGTATTGTCTGCTTCAGTATAAATGGTGTCTACTAAGTTGTGGCTCTACTTTGTGGATAAAGTTTGAGGTTCACTGTAAGACAGAAACAGTTAAGATATTCTCAATAAAAATAGCTGCATGAAGTTTATATTTCAATAACATGCTTCCTGGGTTGACAGGAAAATAATAAGTAAATAGAGACAAACAAAATTGGAGATCTCAAGTTGGCTGCAACTTGGTTTGTAAGAAAACAAATATATAGCTGAAGGAGGTGGGGCCTACTGAAGGTGCAGGATTAGGTTGCAGTGTTATGCTCTGTTGTGACACATTATGTTGGTGATGAGGACTTGAAGGAAATAAGTGAGCCCAACAATAGCACAGCTTCTCTCACAGGGACAACAAAATTTAGCCCTGGGTTGGTAACTTGAGTAGTGCATTTGAAGAACAATAGGAAAAAATAATTCAGGAACTAATAGGAGAATAATACACAGTAAGAAAGATACATGATGCTTTTAGGTTAAATAGATCGTAAAAATTAGAATACAAGTTTTGACACAAATGTCAGATATTCCTAATAAAAGCAGATGGCTAATGTTTGTTTCTGCCACAGGCAAAAATGTGGATTTGAGGAAGGGGGTTAGCATAGGAGGGGAGGAGTTGGTGTATTTAGTGCTGCTGGACCTCAAGGTGAAGTATTTCAAGTTCAACTTTAGCTACAAAGTCTTCTCCAAAATTTATCAGTGGGTTGTTAAGTCTTCACTATTAGACCCCACACAACCTGAAGAGAAAAACTAAAGACCACCACTCTGTCTAAGCAGGAATCCCTCCATACACACTTAGGCTGAGAGGCGAAAATATATCTGTTTATTAGGGTGACTCCCAGGTTTGGTTCTCAGACTTACAGGAAACCCTGTAAGTTACAGAATGTCATGCTATAAATCAGCAGAATACCACTCTCATCCTGTTCTTCTGAAGAGGCACCAGGCCTACCCATGACCCCTGAGAAACTTATAATTTTCCATCTTCCCCAGTCAGACACTCCCTCCCATACCTAAGTTAGCCTATAAAGCATGCTCTCTTTGTCTGTGGTAAATGGTCTTCTTACCTACGTTTCACCAGCTATGTATGGACTGAAAGTTCTATGAACTCTAAGCTGAATAAATTTTTCTTCCTTATTTTTGGGCGTCAGGTATTTTGTCTTGGCAATGAGAGAAAAGTAACCAGGACACAGGCATTGTGATATTTTCTGATAGGTGACTAATTTATTACATTCTGTCTGTGAAAAGCATTTTTCAATAAGTTGACAGCTGATAAACATAGATGTCTGAATAAATGACCAAGACCCCCAGACCCATCTCTTCTGAAAGCTCTGTTTTTTCCCCTACACTTGCTACATGACTTGCTTCCCTCCCAAGTTGACTGTCTTTTATGTTTATTGGATATATATTATATTTTTCTATGAAATGATTGTTTTAATTTAGATTTTCTACTGAAGTAACAATTTATATTTAATGTGGTAAAATTTTTGTAAGCTTGGGATAAAAATATTTTTCAGTTCATTGTTGCACTATTTTCATTGAATTTGTATGTTGCCTTTATGTAGCTTTTTGATTAACAGATGTCGTAATTCCCTGTTTTATGTCTCTTTTAAAAAGCTTTAAATTTTTCGTTTTACATTTATATTTTTAATCTTCTTGGAAATATTTTTTAAGATATGAGACAAAAATTCTACTTAATTTTTAAAATAATTTTGCAAGGATCATTTTTAACAGTCTGTAGTTTTTCCATAGAATTATAATGATAGCACCATGTCCGTTTGGCACTTTAGTGTGCCTGATTTATCTGTTCATTCCTCAGTCTGGTTGGGTATGTGCCGTGTCTCTACATATAGTGAAATAATTTCACAATTTTTCCAGATGCATCTTGAAATTAGATCTTCCATATAAAGTGTAAAGTTTTTGATTAAAATCAACAAAAATAATAAAACATGTTATGGTAATTATTGAAGTTCTTTGACTCTAAATTCTACGTAGACATGGAGTTATTGAGTCTAGTTTTTTCATGGTTCATAATTAATTTGTGCATACCTAATATATTATAGTAAAGCTTTATAATTTTACTAAATATTTTAATTATCAGACTATTTCAGTTATCCTGAGACAAGAAGGATGTCAGACCAACAATTGATATTGGGGAAATGTAATTCCCAACTTATTACATGACAGATATGCCAAGTTCACATTGCCCATTATCAAAGAATGAACTCTAAGCAACAACGGAGGTTAAGCAAAGGAAATATTTATTGAGGGGTTGAGATATACCTCCTGAGAGAAAAAAAAGGGGGTCCAATACTTACCTGGCAAGGGAGATACCGTGATCATGAAGGTGGTTTCCCAGGGCGAAGCTTATCATTACACTCTGGATGTGCTGTCCCCTGCAATTTCCCCAAATGTGGGAAACACAACTGCATAATTTGTGGTATCAGGGGACTGTGTTTGTGCTTTCCCCTGAAATAAAGGCAGGGGGGCTAGTGAGTTACCAGTGAGCTTGCTTTATAAAGGAAGTTTCATACAGCAAAATCATGAGGTTGGTATAATGAGGATCAAAGTTATGATCAACCAGCAAGATTACAACAATAGCCAATTAGGTATATTACCTAATAGGGAAACAAGTCCTAGAGCAAGTGTACATTAAAACAACAAAGAAATTTTTCAAGAAGTGATGGGTCTGTGTGTCTTGGCAATCTACTGAGGTGACTTAATGTCTGCCCATAATTTTTTTTGACCTGGTGTTATCACTTAGCTTATCCCTTGGGGAAGCATGTAGATTTGGTCATTCATCCTAGTTTGGCCTTCAATAGATGCATGTCCGGCCGGAGTTGTAATGTATTTTCATCTTTTGTACTGACTGTCTTGAGGACTTAGTTCTGTCTGACTGCCTATAATATTTCTACCAAACTAGTTCGTCTATTATACTCCTACTTTATTAATATTTTACAAGTGCCATTTTAATATTTAAATACAACCTAGGTGAAATTGCAAGTTGTTTTTGCACAATGATTTAAGTCCAACTCCTGTGTTGATAAGACTGATTTATAACTTAATTTCACACTTTCTTTTAGTTCCAAGAACTCCCCTTACTTTTCTGTCCTTCTAGGCCTAGAGACAGAAGAAGCTCAAAAGCTACATTTATGAAAATGTCTTCTGAACTGGCTTTTGATTATGGCCTGTCAAAACTCAAGACTCTCAGGAGTGTAGAGAAGGCAGGATGAAGGTAGAAACCCCCGTGTCTGGGGTTTACACACACACACACACCTGTTGCCTATCACAGCGGCAAGAGTGCAGCAGCGTGCCTTTGGCTTACTGACTCAAGCACTACTTGTCCCAGCTTAAGACCCTGGAGAGGCTAAAAAGGATGAAAAATGACTCAAAGATTACTTGGAGTCAATGTCCAATCCATACTCAGATGGGCCCAGAAGCGCTGCCATTAACCGACACCCCTCAGTGTGAGAAAGTCTGAAAGGGCAGCTCCAAATGGAAGACTCTGTGGCCTTTTATTGGTAGAACCAGGAAGCCAGGATCAAAGGAAAAAGAAGGTTGTTTGGTCAGGAACTCAGTAGGAGACAGCGGAAGGACAGGACGGGGTTGTCTGTCGAATGACTGACCTTGGGACTAATCTAAGTGATAAATGAAGTGTGGGGAGGATGAGGGCTGCAGCGTTCATTCCTTAAGGTAGGGTGTTGGTTCTACTTGGAGTTTGTGGCCCTGTGGGTGGTCTTCCAATCTCTACCACACACCGCCGAAGGCTTGTGGTGTGGCTCCAGATGTCCCTTACCTTTGCACACCCCTCTCATGCAGACCTCTGGTCAAGCCCCCACGCTGCTGATGCTGATAAACAGAAGTAAATTCTGGTCTCTCTTTAAATCATGTCTTAGTTGAGAAAGAGACAAATGGATATAGAAGAATGCACATTTTAGAGACCTGTACCCCACAGAGCTCTGGGCTCTCCTGTAGTACCGCATGACATTGCAGTAGATCCGCCGGTCTTCTGCAGTGACAGTGTCCTCGGCTCTCGTTCCCTTACTTATTTTCTTGCCTTTCTAAATCTCTGCAGAATATTGTTTATCCCATAGCCTTTGTTTCTCCAATTCTTCTGTTAATTACATAAGCTACTTACTGGCACTAAATCCTTTTCTCATTTTCAGTTTCTTGATTGTACCTTGAATAATATATATGAATCAGGTTTGCTCATTTGTAATTGTTCCAGTTTTCTGTTTAGTGTATATGATTTCTGCGAAGTATTTGTTCCTTCTTTTAAAGTCACAGGTATTTCTTTCTCCTTCCCTATTATGCTGACTTTAATTCTATAAAAAACTGAATGAAATTATTGGCAGCAGGAATACTGTGAATGTATTATAAAATCTGGAGTTTAAAATAATTACAAGATTTCAACATATTTTTCTACAATTTGGAGGTAATTTTTTTTAATATTTTGAATGTTCTCTCTTCTGCCTTGTGTTAAGGGGTTTTACCTAAAGGATTCTAGACTTTCATATTTTGCCCCTGCATTTATCAAAAATGTTTACTTAGGTTTTTCTCCTTTAATATTTTAATGTTGTTAATGACTTTTATAGACTCTGGTGATAAACCAACGCTGAAATTCTGGGTTATTCTTAAATTCTTCATCATGCGATATTTTGTTTGCAGATTTTTGTTATATATTTTTATGTAAATGGAAATTTGAGATGGTACTCAAAATTTTACCTTTCATACTGTCTTAATCTGTTTTTATACCAATGCTATGCTAAATTCATAAATTATGTGTGGGATATTGCTTGTTACTTATCTAGTACAAAAGTTTATCGTATATTTTTTAATATTTTTATGACATAGCAATCACTATCTGGACATTCTGTACTTCTGTGGGAAACTTTAACTTGTTAAATTCTTCTGTAGTTATAGACTTCTGATTATTTCTTTGTAAGCAGTTTGGTGGGCAAGGAATTTGTATAAATTGTATAAATTTTTAAGTATGTTAGCATCAAAATTTTTGGCCTTTTTGTATTCTTTACGATGGTTCTGCCCAACTGGAGTTTGTTGATGGGTATTAACTGCTGTGAGAACACGCTCTTATTTTGTCAAAACTCTGTTTTTAGAACACTGACATCATGAGTAGGGATGCTGTCTACTGATGCTTGTGAAATTTAAGATCTTAAGATACTTACACAATGGTCGAATACTGAGAGGTCTCAGCCTGCCAACGACACATATTTTTTTGGCTTACCCATAGACAGCTCCTCTTTCTCACACATTTTCACTGCAACACTGAAGCATTCATGATCCTGCCTGCATTTCGGAGCTCTCCACCACGTGAGGAGCCCAGTCAGCTGGAGAGCCCAGTGTAAATGAGGCCTGGCTAGGAAACCAGTCCCCAAAACAGACCGTTATTCTCTACCGTGGTTTTCCTTCCCACAGTGGGATATTCCAAACACTCCTGCAGTCTCCTAACCTCCAAGTTAACTCCTGTAAGCTTATAACCACTGTTTTCTGAGATGCGCTATGTTTACACAGATTGATCAAGTTATTGTTCATCACTTCACTGTGGATAGTATTCAAATATTTTCATTTCAGTAATGAAAATAGTTGCAAGTGTACCATTACATTCAAAATTCTTTATGTTTACTATACTTACGAAATTAACAAAGAGTGCAAAGTAGGGAAGCTTGAAGCAAATTGGTTATCAAATGGTTTACTTGTAACTTGCAATTTTAGTGAATTCTATGTTAATATTTTAAGTTATTGTTAAGATAAATTTGATGACACCAGATGTATAATTTTGAATATAGTAGAATTTTGATGTTTAGAAGAACACTTAAAACTTTAAAAGTTATACAATTTTTAACTTAATTTTCGCTTATGATTTTGTTTGACATTAATCTTTCTTTTAATATTGATATAATATGAAGTTTTGCAATTGCAATTGATATAATTTTGAAATTTGCAAATTTCAACTCAGCACATACTCCAAGATCAGCTAGTGATACTGCTGTCTATCTATATCTATAGATCTATATCTACCTCTAAACAATTTCATTTTATTCTTCATTTGAAAATATGCTAAGTGGTATTCAATATACC